AATTTGGCTTTTGAATAAGGCTTTCTTGCTCCTTACTGATTGGTCTTGGTAACAATTTATAAATGTGTATGTTTGCAGTGTTGTACAAGCTTCAGATGGATTTTACAAAGAGTCCATTCATAAAACTGAACAATAAGCTCATTTTCGTGGTGGAGGCAAAAATCTGAACTGGTTTCGGATATTCATTTCTGCTATTTCTGCTACTCTTACTCACATACGAATAAGAGAGGTGTTTTTTTTTTGTTGAATTGCGCTACTGAAGAACTTCAACACCATTGAATGGATCCTTCACAGTGGTTGCAGCACAGCTAAGTAGCATCAAATCAGCTCTCAACAACTGAAACTTCGTGATACGACAACGTTTCGACAGCGAATATACCGACTGCACCTTGCAAAAGAATTCGAGATGCTCGAGCACGGTCAGTGTTCCAAACAGAATGTTGTATTGTGGGCATATTCCCAGATATGAACGGATTTTCGGTAGAGCTTTGCAAATATCATAGTCGTTGATGTACGCAGTTCCAGATGTCGGTTTCGTCACTCATGAAACAGTGTTGACCCACNACATTCTATATGTGGAGGAAGTTTTGGGGCAATGGAACGTCTCAAAAAAGTTCTACCGTAAGCTGTAGAAACAATGCAAAACAATATGCATTTCACGTTACGTTTTCAGTTGTGTACTGAACATTTTGATGCAATACGCATTATAGAGTTAGAGCTGGAAAGATATCTTGGAGATGGCTAAATGAATTGATGAGTCCGAAATCAATGGGAGAGATAGTTTCTGGAGCGTTTGGACATCAATAGTTTCTTCGAATAGCAATAGTCTCCCGTGTTGAAAGGTTGAGGCAAGGAATGAAAAAGTGATACTTAGTCATACCAGAAGAAGCTTGTAGTAAAATGTTATTCAAGACTGAGCATGTAAATTATTAACGATAAGCAATATCGTAATTTGAATGCTCAGCAAGGAACCTGTNAGCATAGAGAACGTGGTGCTTTTACCAGCGCCATTGTGACCAAGTAGAGCTGTCACTTGACCGCGATAAACCTCTAGATTCAATTTGTTTACGGCTTTCTTCTTTTGCTTGTCCTTCTAAAGAAGATCATTTTTCAAGTGTATTTGTTAAGTTACGAAGTTGACTGGTTGCAGGTAAAACGGATAATAGGAAGGAATCAGAAATTAAGGTTTCCTTCTCAGAAAGTAATTCCAGTCCGTATTATTCAACAAAAATTGAAACGAAACATTTTAGAAAATTTTCAATATTGGCATTCATCAAAAGCAGTGAAGCAATCAAATTCAACATGAGACTGGCGATGCACACCTTCACGAATAGTCTCTTTGAATAGCATTTGCTCAGATTGACGATATTGATCGTCGTGGATTCACCACTCGAATTCGATTCTATAGTAGAAGCGTATTTTGATGAAACGGAACTTCGTCCGCATGAACTGATAGTTCTGCGTCGATTTTTTGAATTACTGGAAATGCTCATCCTCTCCAGAAACGAGCGTTTTGGCTGGTGCTGTCGAAATTTGGTTGTTTTTCGGCCACACCACTTGGGTGCCCAGTAGGACGGCTGAAATGTGGTCATCCGTCAGTTTAGTTACTCATCTATTTGTAAAATAGAGCGCATAATCTATAAGAAGAGCATTAGCTCGATTATTTAACACATGCTATGACCACGGATCATTTAGGTGGTGACTGATTGAGCCATGTTAAATCCCTGACCGGTCAATTTGCCTAAAGATAATTTGCCTAACGGACAGTTTGCCTAAGGAACCGTTTGCCTATTAGGCGAAATATCCATTAAAAACCGTAGTTTAGGCAAACTGTCGGTTAGGCAACGTGTCTTTAGGCAAACTGTCGTTAGGCAAAATGTCTTTAGGCAAATTGACCGGGTACCGTTAAATCACCTTGTTTGCATGTTTCTTTTCTATGGATTGAATAAATTGCTCACGTTTGAGATGCAACGTTCGAAGCAGAAATTTGACAAGATGGCAGCATTTGAGCGAGAAAAAAAACAGGTTGCTAGGATCGACCCTCATTGTCGTTGACTAATTGTAAGCCCATGCTATCATGACCTAGGGTTATTTATTTAGAATCTTATCCATCGACTTCATTCTAATTGTTTTCATTTACAAATGACAATCGATATCTGTTCATGAGAATGGTTCATGTTAATTTTTGCTTGCGCATCATC